CAAATAAGTATAAGTGTGATGGGGCAAAGGAGAGAGCACACTTAGCGAGGTGTGCTAAGAAAATCGGAGCAAGGAAAGAACACTTTCAGCTAGAGACGTACAAGAGGGCTTCAAGGATGGACGTAGTATCTCAGCTGTCTTGAAGAAAGAAAAGGATTTCAACAGGTAGAAATGAAGGAGTCTATTCTAGGAATGAAAACAACAGAGGGTTGTTCAAACTGGTGCTCATGGCTGCAATACAAAGGGCTTGCAGGGAAAGAGCCTGGAAAGATAGGCTTCAAATAGGAAACAGAGAAAACCTTTAGATGCCAGCCTATGGAGTCTGCATTTTATCCTAAGCAACAGAGAGTGTCTACTGAAAGGAGCTGGGTACAGGGTTGACCTACTCAAATAGGACTTGTTCTCCGAAGAAAGAATGCTTATTTGCTGTATCTTATTTTAATCACAAATAATCTGCTCTCAATGTCAGCCTAATCATATCTTTTTTAGAATTTGTCATAAGACACCTTAGTGTAGTCCAATGAATAGTTTAAATAGCATAAAATGGAATCCAGTGCAAACAGCACATGAGAAAGACTAACATACCAAAAAGGGATATTCCTATATAAGTTGATAACAGTTAAGATTTCACTTCAATTGAATTGAACAAATATTCACTGAGGTCCTATGCTCTACACATAGTAGGTAATCAATAAATTCACATGTATATATGTAATATACATGTCTATATCTAGGTTATCTCTAGTGTGAGTGATACAAAAATGGGTAAGAATAGGTCCCTGCCCTTAAGAAGCTTACAATCTAGGAGAGGCAATAAAACAAAGCCACAACTAGACTACAAATTAAAATATAAGCAGTAGAAAATTCTATCTGACTTCTGAGAAGAGAAAGTGAGAGACAGAGAGAGAGAAAGAGAGAGAGATGAGAGACAGACACACAGACAGAGACAGAGAGAGAGAGATGAGAGAGAGATGGGGGGAGACAGAAAGGGAGAGGGAGAGAGAGAGAGGAGAAAGAGATAGAGAGAGAGAGATGTAAGAGAGAAAGAGAAAACATTCTCAGACAAAGAGAGAATAAACATCTAGTTGGAGACAGCCTGGGCATCCTTTTACAGTGTGAGAGAGAATGCAGGAAGTCAGGCCTTATATTCCATGATGCAGAAAAAGGGCAAGAGGGGAAGTAGTTCAAAAAGTCAGCACAGAAGGGAACTAAATATGATGCACACGAATGAGAACGCTGCCTGTAGGTTTTTGGCCGCTTCCTATCCAGGGTTCTCAGTAGTAAAGCAGAACTAGACAAAAGTACTGTTCCTGAGTATTCTCAAAGAGTGAAACCTGGATCCATTACCAACAATACGTTAGAGACTGAACAGATTCTGCTATCACCTAAGTACCATCAGTGATATAAAATGGCAAGGCCAAGGCTCTAGTGAAGTCTTGGAAGGAAATAATTTATTGGAAGATGAAGCCAACAAGGAGAGTTTGAACTACAGGGTAGCAAATATGAAGATGATCCATGACAACCCAAACGAGTTGTTTTGGGTTTTTTTTTTAAATAGAACTTAAAAGATAGCACATATCCAAGGGATAGCCAACTCTTCAACATACACAAGATAGCAAACATGATATAATGTTTAAAAAACCCTATAACTAGGTAGAAGAAATTTATTTCAGAAAGGGCTGTCTGATATGCTATAGGCAGACTGAATATGAATGATAAGCCACCTACATGGATAATTAGCCTTGCTTATATAAAATAGGTTATTTAACTCCAAAGCTTATCTTACATGTTATTAATTCTATACATTACTATGTCAACATAGTCAAAGACTCTTTTTAGTGTGTAAACAATTCAATTCAGCAAAATCTATTGAAGGTTTAATACTATGCACAAGGCATCCTTGCTACATGCTGGGGAGATAGAAAAATGAGTAAAATATAGTCTCCTGTTCTTATGGCACTTAAAATGCAGATGGGGAGTTAGGATAAGTACACACATAAATATAATACAAAACAAAATATGGATCCAATAAGAGAGTTTACTGCTACTATCTTGCATTTTTATAATATTTGACAGTTTTAGATATGTTTTTACATCCAGTATATCATTTGATACAAAGTAACACAGAGGTTCAGAGGAGGATTAAGGTCATAGCCAACCACGTCCAAGAAGAGCATCATAAAGAAAACAGCATTTAAGATAGATAGAACTGGAAGAACAGGTAAGACTTTGACAGAGATGGAGGAGAGAACAACCTAGTGGACGAAATGGTGTTAGCAAACATGGTAACGTGAGATAAATAATAAAAGTATATAATTTTATAATTGAATAGTTCAGTTTGACTACAATTTCCAGCAAGTACAGTGAAGGAATATGAGAAATAAGACTGGATAGGTATACATCATAGAAGTCCCCACTGGTCAGACTAAAGAGTCTGGATCTTATTCTACAGACAGTAGGAAGTAATCGAAGGTTTCAGAGCAAAGCATTAGGAAGTTTAATCTGTCAGTGCTGGTGAGGAAGATAGGCTTTCATTAATTCAATAATCATTTATTAAATGCCCACTTAGGCCAGACACTGTGTCAGGTGAAGGAAAGACAAAGATGAAAGTGAAACAGTCATTACGCTCAGGGAGCTTATAGTCTTAACTGGAAGAGACAACGTGTAGTTTTTATATATATGTGTATGTGTGTATATGATTATATGTGTGTGTGTGTATATATATATATATATGTATATATATATATGTATTATATATATATGTATATATAAAAACACATTAAGTAAAATCGTTCCTAGGATACTGTTGGTGGAGCTGTGAATTGATCCAGTTGTTCTGGAAAATAATTTTGCAGATGATATGATAACATACTTAGAGAACCCTAGAGAATCAACTAAAAAACTAGTCAAAACAATTAAGAACTTTAGCCAAGTTCCAGGATATAAAATAAACCTACACAAATCATTAACATTTCTGAATATTACCAACAAAACCCAACAGGAAGAGATAAAAAGAGAAATTCCATTTAAAGTAACTACAGACAATATAAACTACTTGGGAGTCTATCTGCCAAGACAAATATGAACACAATTACAAAACACTTTTCACACAAATAAAAGCATATCTAAGCAACTGGAAAAATATTAATTGCTCACAGCTAGGCCAATCTAATATAATAAAAATGACAATACTGCCTAAATTAATTTACTTGTTCAGTTCCATGCCAATCAAAGCACCAAAAAATTATTCTGAGCTACAAAAAATAATAACAAAATTTCTTTGGAAGAAAAAAATATCAAGGGAATCAATTAAAAAAAAGGGGGAAGGAAGGGAGCCTAGCAGTACCAGATCTCAAACAGTACTACAAAGCTGTAATCCTCAAAACAATTTGGTACTATGTAAAAAAATAGAGAGAATGGTAAATGGAAGAGATTAGGTACACAAATGAGCAGTTACCAAGTGTTTAATAAACCCAAATATCCCAGCTATTGGGATCTATCTGACAAAAACCGTTGGGAAAACTAGAAAGTAGTGTGGCAGAAACTAGCCACAGACCAACATCTCATACAATATATCAAGATAAGCTCAAAATGGGTGCATGATTTTCAACATAAAGGGTGATACCATAAGCAAATTAGTGGAATAGGAAAGAAATCACTTGTCAGATCTGTGGATAGGGGAAGAGTTCATGACCAAACCAGAAATAGAGAGGGTCACAGGAGGCAAAATGTATAATTTTGATTACATAAAATTAAAAATTTTTGCAGAAACAAAATCAATTCAGTTAAAATTAAGAAAGCAGGAAATGGGAAAAATCTTTGCAGCAAATTTTTCTGATAAAGGTCTCATTTGTAAGATACATAGAGAACTGAGTCAAATTTTCAAGAATAAGAGCCACTCCTCAAATGACAGATGTCAAAAGATATGAATAGGCAGTTTTCAGAGGAAGAAATCATATGAAGAGATGCTCTAAATCACTAATAATTAGAGAAATGAAAATTAAAACAACTCTGAGGTACCATCTTACACCCACTGGATCAACTAAGATGACAAAAAAGAAGATGAGAAATGCTGGAGGAGATATGGAAAAATTGGGACACTAATGCATCATTGGTGGAGTTGTGAACTGAACCAAACATTTTGGAGAACAATTTGGAACGATACCCAAAAGGCCAGTAAACTATGTATATACCATTTTACCTAGCAATACTGATTTTTCTAGGGCTATACCCTAAAGAGATTAAAGAAAGAGGAAAAGGACATATGTATACAAAAATGTATAGCAGCTCTTTTCATGGTGGCAAAGAACTGGAAACTGAAGGAATGCCCATCATTTGGGGAATGGCTGAATAAATTATGGTATATAAATGTGATGGAATACTACCGTGCTGTAAAAAATGATGACAAGGATGGTATTCGGAAAAACCTGAGAAATCCTCCATGCTTTAAAAAATACATAAAATTTTTTTAAAAAGAAAAACACATAAAATAGGACTTGAAACAGTTTAATAGCAAAGAAGAAATTCACTACAATAATAGAGAAATGTCTGCTCTATAGGCAGAGTTAGAACTTTTGTGGTGAGGATTTTCTCAGCATCTTCTCTTGGCCTCAGTCCTGTCCTGTCTCCAGTTTCCCCTAGGAGTCTTAAAGCCCTTTTCTATTTGGTTCAGGAATCTGAGGTGGTCCAGGAACTCTTCCACTTGGTCTAGAAACTCATTAGAGTTCACTTAGAGGAAGCTGGTGGTGAAGTGCATAGAACTTTGGGCCTGGAGTTAGAAAGACCTCGCGTTCTAATCTGGCCTCAGAAACTTACTAGCTTAACCCCTGTTTGCCTCAGTTTTCTCAACTATATAATGGGGTATTTAATAGCACCTACCTGGCAGGATTGTGGGAGGATCAAATGAGATAATATTTGTAAAGAGCATTCAGCACAGTGCCTGGCACATAGCAGGAGCTGTATAAGTAAATGCTTATTCTCCCCTTTCCTATTCCCTGTAGCTTGGTCCATAAACTCCTGCCATGTCGCTGCTGCTGGTCATATTGCCGTCTGGTCCTTGCTTACGGGAATCCCTTCTACTTGCTCAGATTCAGTTACTACCACACATCAGCCAAGGCTGAGAACACATGCTACATTCCACCACCCACAGTCTCCCACTATTGCAAAGAGGCAAGAGGGTGCATTTTCTCAACTCTTCTCTGGGGCCAAGTTTTTTCAACATAATTGCAAAGAATTCGGTTTCAGTATTTTTGTGCTTCCCGTTTACACTGTTGTGGTCATTGTGTATGTTTTTTCCCTGGTTTTGTTTCCTTCACTCTACAACAGTTCATACAATTAATTTTTCCCATGTTTCTCTGAATTCTTCACATTCAGCATTTTTTATGGTGCAATAATATTCCATGACATTAATGTGCGATCATTATTGACTAAGCCATTTCCTAATTGATGAGGATCTACTTTATTTCCATTCCTTTGTTGCAATAAAAAGAGTTGCTACGAATAATGACGTATATGAGCTCTTCTTTTCTGTCTTTGATATGCTTAGTGGATATTTTAGTTATTCCAAATTGCTTTCTAGTTGGACCAACTACCAATTTCCATTGCAAAATATCATATAATTGGTGGTGCTCTCATTTTGTGTGGTACCTTTACATTATCCAGACTAATCATGGGAAAAAGGAAGAACAAGTCCCTTTGTTACTGAACGCAGGCTAAAGAGCCTCAGACTCTTCAGACTCTAAGGAGACAGAAATATTTTCATACAATTTTCAACCTTTGCAGTGCAGAGGAAGATAAAAGCTACTTTGTAGATGTATGATTTGGAAAAGAAAGCAGCCAATTTTGTGTATTTTTAATTGTAATATGAAAATATGGCAAGCACATCATGTTGAGTAGGTCACTGTTGGGTCAGTCAATTCTTTTCTCTATCCTATGATCTATGGATTTTCATTAGCAAAGTATAGAGAGTACCCAAAGGGTTGCATTTTGTTTGCAACATTCCAAAAGGTACTGGTTGTGGGTTTGGAATTTTCTGTAAATGGCTGTACTTAACAAAAAATAGCCTTAGTGAAATGAAATTAATTTGAATTCGTTTCCTGCAGCCTATACATTCACAGGATCATAGACTCAGAGGTGAAAGGGATCATATTTGCCATCTCAGCCAACCCTATAATTTTACAGATGTGTAATTGATCAAGAGAAGGGAAGTGATTCAGCCAGGGTCACACACAACTCATCTAAACCAGGATTCAAACTCAGGTCCTCCTGACTCCATTTCCAGCAGTCTACCACTCCACCATGTGGCCTCTCTTTAATTAACTTATGTTACAATTACAAGAAAGAGAAATGGGTAGGTCTGGAGATCATAAAGAGGCTACATGACACAGCAAAAAGAGCCACAGATTGCAGGCAAAGGACTTTCTGATTTTGATTCCCGGTTCTGTCACTTTCTACCTGTATAAAGTTGCCCAATTCAAGTCAACAAACACTTATTAAATACAACGTGCAAGCTGCGTGTTAGGTGCTAGTTAACCTCTGAGTTTTTGCTTTCTTCATCTCTAAAATAAGAATGACAATGATGCATTAACTACCTCATGAAATCGTAGTAAGATGTGCTTCTAGGATCTCCATCTGCAGGGCGTTTTCTCTGGCTCACCCCCATGCCTGGAATGCTCTGCCTCCTTCTGGTCACAGCCAAGTCCTACCTTCTACAAGAAGCCTTTCCCCGTCCTCCTTCATTTTAGTGCCTTCTCTCTGAGATGCCTCCATTTTATCCTGTAAACGTCTTGTTTGTGCAGAGCTGTTTGTAGGCTGTCTCCTCCATTAGACTGAGAGCTCCTTGAGAACAGGGACTGTCTTTTGTATTTCTTTGTATCCCCAGTGCTTACTTAACACAGTGCTTGGCACACAGTAAGTGCTTAATAAATGCTTGTTGACTTGACTATAATTTTGCTGGTACTTCCTCAACCAACTCTTATGACACCACCTCTAGAATTCAGTATGTGGTTTTTGGAGAATTGTTGTAGTCAAAAAAACCTATTGTCATCATCTTCCTGTGATGAGTCTCTAGGAGCTTAACTGGTCTAGTCCTCAGACAGATATGCAGTGTAGCACTGAGCCCATACTGAAAACTATAAAGAACTATGTAAATGTGAACTGCTATTACTATCGTCAATGTCGTCCCAAAGACTTCAGTGTATTTATGTTACGGCACCGACAAAGGCCAAGCAAACAAGTAAAAAGCTTGGGGAGGCGGGGAGGAACACTGGGGTTGAGATTCTATCTCTTCCCTCAAGAGGTGTGACTGGCTATCCCACGACACGCCTAGCCTGAACTCCTTCTTCATCCTCAACTCTTACAGCGCTTTGCTTCATTCAAGGCCCAACTCAGGTGGCACCTCCTGCGAGCCTTTCCCGATGCTTCTGGTTGTTAGTGTTCTTTCTGTCCTCAAATTAGATTGTTTTTATATAGGTAATATAAATGTCGTCTCCCCCATTAGAATGTAAGCTCCTTGAGGGCAGGAACACTTTTTCATTTTGTCTTTGAATTCTTCAGCACCTTGAACATAGTAGGGCAATTTAGCTGAAGCAAAGATTGAACAAAAAAGAATGGCATCAATTCAGTCTGGAAAGGTATACACCACCAAAGCCAGCTATGACGGGCTTCTTATTCTATAAGCCACATGGAACCACTGAAACGTTTTGAGAAGGGGAGTGACACAGTTCAACCAAAGATTTACTTTTGTAGCCAAATGGATAATGTATTGTAGAGGAGATGGATTCGTTAACTGTTCTGACAAAAGTGTTCATTTAATTAAATAAAGGAAGATGGTGAATTAAAAAAAAAAAGATTCTTCTTTCTCTCAGTTAAACAACCTGAATGTTTAGAACATAAGGCCATAACTAACAAAGCAATCAAGAAATATTAAATACCGACTATGTGCTAAACAAATATACAAAAGTGAGTCAGTCTCTGCTTTTATGGAACTTACATTCTATTCACCTTGTGAGGGCATAGTTTAATTGTGAACCTAGTACCCAAGAAGAAATAAACAACCTTTTTGAGTGCTACCTAAACCTAAACCTATAAAATGATAGAAATGTCATTCCTGACTAAGAAGGTGAAGTCTTGTGGAATAGAACCTAAAATGACATAAGTGTGGATTACCACTTATCTCATTGTTCTGTTCAATTAAGAAACTGTAGTTCTAGAGAAAGAAGAATTTGAACACACTCCTTATATCCCATATCAGCATCCCTTAGACTCTTACTTTAGCTTCCTTAGTCTGCAGTTCACCAATCTACAAAGCATTCATAAAAACTGAGTAAGTCTTATATTTGTGTGGATTTTTGTGAGGCGTCTGAGATGATTCTCATTGGGCCAGCAGATGATGATGGTCCGATCTGTCATGTGTGTTTGGGAGAGACAGGTGAGAAAAAATGGAAATAGGGGAGTAAAAGATAGTTGGAGCTCAGAGCAGATGACCAGAACACCCTGGAGAGAAGCAGTTCTGAAATATAATGTCAGGAACAAGATAATCCTTACTTCACAGTCTACATGGGCAAAAGAATGCCATGACAGGAAGCGACACAAAGCTGGGTCTGTGACTACGTGACTTTCACAAGGGCTCAATATAAACGCTTGTCCATCCTCAGCGTAAGATTCACACAAACACATTTTCACCATGAAATACAGGGTGGACAGTCAAGGGCAATTTATATGTGGCTCAGTGGGAACTTAACAAAGGAGATTTTATGAGGTAGAAATGACAATTCGGACAATGCTTATCAACTCTGATTTTCTAAGAAGCACTTGGTTACATTCAGCATACTTATAGGGTTAAAGATTTACTGTACTGGCACAAGGGTTACTTGAACGGGTAAAACTTCACTTATACAGAGCTCACTGGCAGGTAGTCTAACTTCAACCATCTAGCAAACTGTAGACAACTCCAAAGTTTTTTTCCTTTTGTCTGTCCAAAGGCCCCTAAGCAGTGAACAAACATGTCACTGAAACTCATGCAGTTTGATTAGAAGAGAGTTTCTCAAATCTTTACATAATGTGTACTTATTCTTACTTTTGATATACTCTAACAAACTTGGTTATTTGATCTCCCAGCCCAAAGCAGATTAGACACAGCAAATCAAAAGGAAGGAGGTGTTGCTGGAGCAAAAAATAAAAGCTGACAGTCTAAAAGTGAGGAAGAGATAGAAAAATATGATCTGAGAATTTAAAAAGCAAAACATTATGGACCCATTTAGTGTAGTGGCAAATAGGTGTACATATCTCAATAATCTCTGAGAGTCTCATTGTATTGTGGTTCTGTCCTAGAATGGCAATCCTGAGTCATCAAGAAAAGATTCAGAGGCAGCTAGGTGGTGCAGTGGATAGAGCACTGGCTGTGGAGTTAAGAGGACTTGAGTTCAAATCTAGCCTCAGACACGTAACACTTACGATCCGTGTGACTCTGGGCAAGTCACTTAACCCCAATTACCTTGCCAAAAAAAAGAAGAAGAAGAAGAAAAGATTCAGTTACATTGAGAAAGCAGAAAAATATGTAATATATTTTAGAAAGATTTACATCAATATGGTTAAACATTTGGAAGCTTTGACAATTAAAAAGGTAAGCTTAAGTTACACGTAAAATTCACTTATGTGGAATATCTTTCCTTAAATGATGCAAGATAAACAAGATGTTGCCATATTTTGATACACAGTCTCTCCATTATTAAACTTTTAATATTAAGTTTTAATAACCCATGAATGATAAAAGGACACTTACCATAGCAAACGCATTAATAAAAGTGAAAAATATATTTGAATTGAGACAAGAACTTGGAAAAAAAGGTCAGGGCTAGAGCTATAGAGGTGACAGTTAAAAGCTATGAAAGAATGTACCTAGAAAGGCAAAGACCATAGAATGGAAGGACTTTGAGACTGTAGGAAAAGTAAGAGAAAGCAATGAAGGAGACAAAGGTCCCTGGTACCCACAGCAGTAGCTATGTAGAGCCACTGGAAAAATTCCACCCTCACCCCTTGACCCCCAGATCAACCACTTGTTACCTTAGGTGACAGATGTCCTTAGAGGGCCAGCTCAAGGGTAATATGACCTGTGAGTAAGAGCCCTGTCTTCTCCCCTTTCATTTTTGGTAGAATAGGGTAAGGCACATAAGGATGAGCAGGCATGGGTGGACTGTGATCAGTATCACAGATTATTATTACATTTCCCTTTCCTTCAAATCCACTCCTCTTCCAAACTTCTCTATTACCATGGAGAACACCACCCTCCTTCTGTTTGTCCTGGTTCTCACAACCTCAGTATCATCTTACCTCCTCATTTTCCCTTAACCCACCTATCCAATCAGTTGACAAATCTTGTTTCTCCTGCCATAATCGCCATCTCTGGCCCCTTCTCTCTACTCACATAGCCACCAACCCATATTCAACTTCTCATCACTTCTCTCCAGGACAATTTCAAAAGCCTAATAGATCTCTCTGCCTCAGGTGCTTCTCCTCTCCAATCTTTCTTTTATATAGCTGCCAAAGCAATTTTTCTAAAGCACAGATCATTCTCTTCAATAAATTCCAGTGTTTGCCTATAGACTCCTGGAACAAAAATGATTTCATCTTTACCTCATCGTCTTAATTTCTATTTTTTGGTAAAAGTTTTATAATGTACATAATTATTAGTAAAGTAGTACATGCACATAGCCTACAAGTAAATAAATTACACATATACATAAAAGTATACAAAAACACATATACATAAATATATACACATGCTGTGTATGCTCAAACAATTTTTACTCTTGATGAAAAAAAAGTTTAGATACTGCCATAATATCTTATAGTTTAGGTGTTTTCTCCTTAAATCAAACCTAGAGAAACTTGAATGAACTGATGAATAGTTAAGTGAGTAGAACCAGGAGAATAATTTATACTTCAACAATAATGAAAAAGTAAACAACTTTGAAGGACTTAAGAATGATAATCAATGTAATGACCAATCATGATTTCACAAGACTGATGATGAAGCATGCTTCCCATATCCTGGGAGAGAAGTAACAGACTGGAGGTGCAAAATGAGATACACATTTTCTGACACAGCCACTGTGTAGATTCATTTATACTTGTGGATTGGTTTATACTTGTTACAAGGGAGGGCTTCTATTTAGGGAACAAGTTGTGGAAGAAAGAGGTAATAAGGTACTGACAATCATGCAAGAAAAAAAAAGAAAAACATTAATGAAATATATTAAAGTACACAAAAGTTTGGGAGGGAACACAGACAAGCAGAGCAATATTGTTATTGTCATGAAATCTGACATACACTTAAAATGAAAATTATATGTAATAGAAGTATAGAAGTCCAAATTTTGTATAGAATTATTTTTTGTCATGTTGAACATTGAAATGTTCATACTTGTTGATATTTGTTAAGCTCATAATAATAATAAAGACTTAAATGAAAAAATGACATTCACAGATCCTTCTTTTAGCTACACTCATATGTAGAACCACAATTCTAATAACATTGGTATAAAAATAAGACACCTTCAAATTTAAAGTCAGCTGCTTTACAAAGAAGGAAAGTTTTTATAATTAAAAAATTTATCCTATCATATAAAATACCAAATAATTCCTACCCTAACTGATGTGGTCATTTCAGTTTCTCAAACCCCCGAAATTCACAAATTGATGTTAGAAATTTAGCTATATTTCTTTCTTCCTAACATTTCACTGAGGAATAGAGTTTTGATGCAGGTTAGCAATACAAAACAGAACAATTTTGGGTAGGGCATTTGTAGACATAATGGACTGAAGAAAGGGAGCCAATGGTGCGAAGGAGAGATCAAAAAGGGAGCTAGAATGGCTTCAGAATTCTTCCTTAACCTACTTTTGTATTATAAACTGACAATTCTTCTACCTTTCTGAGCATCTACTCCTTGTTTGGACCATATCTGGGAATAAAAAATAAATTTTATTTAAAATAGCTTTTCTTTTTTTCTTAAAGTGTTTTATATTTAGCATATGGTTATCATTGAAGAAATATATTATTAGAAGAAAAGGTGATTGGTTCTACAGTGAAAATGAGATAGAGGCTGGATATAGTGGCACACACCTGGGGTACCTCCTCCTGGGGAGGCTAAGGTTGGTGGATCCCCTGCACTCAGGAGTCCTGAAGTAGGGCTAAAGTCAATCAGGTGTAGGCTCTAAGTCTGGCACCAATATTGTGAGCCCCTGAGAGGAGGCGAGGGACTGAAGGAGACAGCAGGCTGCCTAAGGAGAGGAGACGTGGGCCAGGTCAGAAACTGAGCAGGTTCTGCACTGAGCAGCAGTGGGGTCCAGCCCATAAGTGGCCATTGTACTTCCACACCAAGAGACCCAGTGTCAAAAAATAGGGAAAAAAAAAGAAAAATGACGCGTTCCATGATATGTCTATGTGTTCCATTCATGATATCAAGAGATCTTAGAGCAGTTGTCTCTAAACTGGAGAATG